CTCAGCAATCTTCTCAGGCGCTTTTGAGAATTCTCAAAAGGTTGTAGTAGTAGCCATGCCATAGGCTCAGCAATCGTCTCAGGCTCATCTGTAGGCGTTGTGCACGTCGCGGTGCTCCACCTCCCGGTGCAGATTGTCATCTGGCATCGTCACCTCACTCACCTAGGGAAGTGGTGGTGGTGGGGGGGGGGGGGGGGGGGGGGGGGGAGGGGGAGAGAAGTGGAAAAGGGGGTTTCAGAAATCGACTAAGCTGTAGGCGTTGTGCACGTCGCGGTGCTCCACTCCGCCGTAGTGCGGGGAAGATGTAGAGGGGCGAGGTGGGGAAAGTGATGCGGGTGGGGTGTGTGTGGGAGAAGGGGGAAGTAAGTGAGCGTTGTGGTGACGATGCCAGATGTGTCGCGGTGCTCCACACTCCCGTGGTCTAGATTTTTCTTAAGCATCGTCACCTGGTTGGGGTGGGGGGACATGAAGAGGGAGGAGGAAAGGGAGGGAATGAGGGAGGGAGAGAGGGTGCAGAAGACATGACTGCTTGGCCCAGCCCTGCTCGTTCCAACTGCCATAATTGTCAGTAATTGACGGTCAACCCGCCACATCTGCTTCATGCAGAACCTATCCACACCACTCAAGCTCCGACCATTCCGTTCCTCACCTCAGGCCCGTTGAACACAGATGGCTCGTTCATGTCATTCCAGATGTACAGGTTCGGTGTCGACCCGCCATAGCTGGAGTAAGCAAACTTGCCGGCCCACCAATCACGGATCTCCGGACTGAGCACGTCCAAGTAGCTGCTGCTGCCCGGCCAGCACCACCCGTCGTAGTCCTTGCCGCTCGAGTCCTTCACGTAGTACCCCTTATTAGTCGCCTCCTTATGCAGCGAGTACCCGTCGTCGCGCTTCACGTGCGGGTCCACGATCGTGACCATCTTGCGCCCCTTGGCGGCGAATTTCTGCTGCATTTCAGCCGGATGGGGGAAGTGTGTCGAGTCCCACGTCATGTACCTGAATGGAAGGCAGGAAGGCATGGAGTGCATGGCATAAGCACATGAAATCGGAACCTCATGTGTCTGGCTTCACGCGGGGGTCCACAATCGTGACCATCTTGCGCCCCTTGGCGGCGAACTTCTGCTGCATTTCGGCCGGGTGGGGAAAGTGCGTCGAGTCCCATGTCATGTACCTGGTAGACAGGCAGGCATGGCAAACCAAGCGAGAGTGAGGCACGTGGTGTGGGAGTCAAAACACATGAGCATCACGCCTCCCATAAGGATCACACCCCTGAGCACCTAGCTTCGTATGCGGGCCCAATTATGGTGACCATCTTTCGCAACTTGTCCACGAATCAGATCTGCATACTATGCCATGCTCTCTTGCCCCACACGTCTTACCAAAGCATTCCTTGCCTTGCTCCTCCCCGCCCCTTCAACTCACCCACCTCTTCCCATCGGTGTGTTCAATGTCAAGCCACAGAACGTCATACGCAATGTCATGCTTATCAAACCTCTCTCTCCACACACAACCACTCACAGCACCTCACAGCTCTGCATCTCCAACCACCCACCTCTTCCCATCCGTGTGCTTTCATGTCAAGCCACAGCACATCATGCAAATTGTCATCTCAATTCAACCATGCATAGCATATCCTGCCCTGTTCTCACCCCGTGCCCTCTGAACTCACTCACCTCTTCCCATCGGTGTGTTCGATGTCAAGCCACAGCACGTCATAGGGGATGTCATGCTCATCGAACCCAGCGTCCACCGCCAGAGCGTCCGCCTCGTCCTTGTAGTTCCACCGGCACTGCTGGTACGCCACTGCGAACAGCTGCGGCATGGCTGTCGTCCCCGTGACTGCCGTGTACTGCCGAACCACGCCGGCCGGGGATGGGCCCAGGAAAAAGAAGAGGTCGACGATGCCGCTCTCTGCTATCCAGTGGGTCGTCACCTGGGTGGCAGGAAAGAGGGAGCGATTTGAGTTGGCTCAATAGGAACCAGTGACTTTAGGGTTGACTGAAACGTGATAGCGTGGGGAGAAGGGAAGGTGTCAAGTGCATTGTTGTCCTCTTTTTCTGCCAGTGCAAGCCTCTGCTGCTGCTGGATGCCCATCTCTTATATTCAATGTGTGCTCATACAGAGGACGACGAGATGACCGGGAGGACGGGCCAAACGAACAAACAAAGAAAACGCACACACAGAGAATGTACTACATCTACTACCACCACACCTCACCTCCGGGACAGTGACTTCCTCGGGCTTGGCCAGCACATCGATCCACATCTCAGCCGCATTCAGCCAGAACACCCCAGCCGTGCGGTGGGCGCTGTGAGCGAGCATCATGGGGATGGAGCCGTACAGCCCGAAGGGCGACTCATGCAGGTACTCAAACACGTCCAGGTTGTATAGGCGATACGGCTCACTGTGCACGCCGGGACCTTTAGTCGGGCGCAGAGACAGGCTGTTGATGGGGGGAAGGAGGGGCAAGAGGGGGAGCGGGGGGGCGAAAGTGGGGGGAGAGAGTGGGGAATGGGAAAGGGAGGAAGTAGTAAGGGGGTCACTGATGACTATGGATTGGTTTCGAACCGTTCAAGCGGCAAGTGGTGTACTTGTAAAAATGTAGTCATGGTTCAGGCGTGCAATGGGCGAGCTGCGCGCCAATGGAATAGGGAATTGCAGTGAGCGGGAATTGCAGCGGCAAGCGCTGCAGGCGGTAGATGAGCTGCGCGATGATCTTCAAAGCTGACCACCTCGGGATGATATATTAATAACCAAGGCGTGGCATAGACGTGCAAATTGACGTCGGCTATAGCTCAGGCACTCAGGAGGTATTTCAACCAACCTGATGGCACGTTCAACGATGCCATCGACGTGCCGCGCGCCGTGAAATGTGACACCGGCACTACGTGAGAGATTCTTGAAAATGACTCCTCGAAACGGATTCTTTGAAATCTCTGAATAAGTACCTGGTGGTGCGTACCTGGTGGTGCGTACCTGGTGGTGCGTACCTCGTGGCGCGTTCCGGGATGCCATAGACGTGCTGCGCGCCGTGGAAGGTGACGTCGAAGCTAATCGCCTCGGGCCCGCGCGGCTTGGAGTCGAAGTGCCCCTTGAACGTCTCCTCCCACGACTCGTCCTCCCCGTCATGCAACATCATCTCCCCCTCATGCTCCTCCCCCTCCCCCTCCGCCGCCTCTCCGCCGTTGCTCTTCGCCTCCCCCTCCCCCTCCACCGGCTTCTCGAGAACGTTCTCCCCGCCTTCCGCCGCCGCCGCTCCGCCTTCCGCCGCCGCTCCGCCGTCCGCGTGCGCGGGGTCCGTCTTGTTGCGCCGGTGCTCGAACTCGAACAGACCCTTGCCGTTGAACGACATGATCAGATCGTCCCCGCGGTACACGTGTACGGCGAACGGATCTTTCGCCACCACTGCGCGCCGATCCTCGCCGAACGACAGGTGGATAGGAGTGACGTCACCCTCCGCTGCCGTCCCGGAAATCACGGAGAGCGGCACGGCCTTGGTTTCGAGCCCTGGCTCGAGCACGTCGGGGACCTCGAAGCGATTCTTCGACGAATCTTCGTTAATCTTCATGCGAAGCGTCGAATCCGCATAAGCCGTCATTTCAAGAAATAGCTCGACCTTTCGTTTTCCAGAAGCCTTGTTGCGAATAGTGCCGATGAATTTCCCGCCGGAATTGATTTCGCCGGATCGAAGAACCAAAGTGGAGGTTCCTGGTTCGCGGTTGCGGTTCCGCTTGCAGAAATGCGCCTTGTCGCACGTTTTAAACTCGTGCGCCTTGAATCCCGCCGCAAATTGCGGCTGCGCGCCGAGCAGCAGAAGCGCAGTTAACGCTAACGCAAACGTCACGACGAGGCCTGGACGTGTTTCCCCTCGCGACGCGCTAGCCACGCTGCTAGCCGCCATCAGGATAGTCCTGAACTGGAAACGCTAACTGCTAAGATCGTCGCCGTAAGCGTCAATTCTGGCTGAATACCGTCGGCGTAAGCGTCGAATGCGGCGCCAAAGGCTACTGGCCAGCAGACGAGGCCGGAGACGCCCTCGCTTGCAACCAGAATGCTGGTCAATGGCCAAGCACGGAAACTAGGTTCGATCTGTGGCTCGTGTCAGGGAGGCATGGATCTACCTACGCCTAGTGGTGGGTGTGAGGGCAGACGGAAAGCCGTGAAGCGAGTGGTGGTGTGGGTGGTGGTGGTGTGAGGCGAGCAGAATGCAGGGAATCTCGAAGTCTCTACTCGATCATCTCGAGGTTCGGAACGAAGCACTCAATAACCGTCCGTTTTCTACAGTACAGTACCGTTTGTGGTACAGTAAAGCCTTTCACTAAGCGTTGGCCAATTTTGAGTTGAGTTTAGATTTATCTACAATACCAAAACATTAGCCGAATATGCAAAGAAATGAGCATCAAACACATCTCTCCCCATCAAGCCCTCCTTTCCTTTCACTGCCTCCACTGGCGTTCTGTTCCTACGCCTTCGTTCTGCGCGCTTCCGTGCTCTCATTCTCTCTTTTTGTTCGCTCCCGCGCTCTCCCTCTCTCTCGCGGAAACGGAAGGTGGATATGAGAGGAGCAGGGCATGAGGGGAGGAACGGGGAGTGCAGCGTTCGACAGCGTATCACTTGTTTAGCAGACCTTATCATCTCCGTGACACAGAGAACAGAGCTCAATTGAACAAACTGCCGGCGAATCAGCACATATGTTCGCAGAACTGCCTGTTTTTTTCGCTAGCGTCCGAGCTCCGCACTCTCTCTTTCCGCTTCCGCACGCTCACCCTCCCTGCGCGGATCCTCACGGCCACTCTCTTAACGCGTTTACGCGCTCTAATCTTTTCTCCCACGCGTTTCCGCGCTCTCCTTTTCTTCTCTGCGCGCTTCCACGTGCAGGTGAAGGAGCTGCGCGCATCCCTCGGCCCCCTCCCCAAGCTCGCGCGGATATTCTGCTCCGACGCGCGTGTGCGCCGATACCTGCGCGCGCGCAACTGGCACGTGCAGCGCGCCGAGCGCATGCTGCGCGACACGCTCAAGTGGCGCGACCAGTGCCGCCGGGAGGAGATTCGATGGGTACGTATACGTGCACGCGCATACTTACATTCGTTAACACGCACGCACGCACATGCGGAAGCACGTCCATTATTAACGTGTAACACTACCTCACACTGCGCGGACTCGTTACCACCAACAAAACATCCAATTGATGCTACCCTTCGCAGCGGAGGTGGGTACTGGAACCCCAACCAATTCACGCAATCATGTCGTCTGCCAAAACACAATTGCGTTATACGTTGCTATGACCACAATTGTGATTCATTTCGTGCGGTGACGTGATTACAGGCTGACGTGGCGGAGGAAGGCGCGACTGGCAAGGTGTACCGAACGGCGTTCCAGGACAAACACGGCCGCCCAGTCGTGGTGCTCTCTGCCGGCCAGCAGGTGAGGTGCTTGCGATAGGAGGGGCTTGCGAGATGAGGGGCTTGCTCGAGGTGGGGCTTGCGAGGTGCTGGGGTAGAGAGGGGTTGTGTGTGACCTGAGAGAAGGAAGGGCAAGCTATGCAGGAAGGGCAGAGAAGGTGCAGGATGGCGTTTTCTACCAGCCGCTGGGTGAACGGAATCTATAGTTTTTACTTGGCTCATTCGAGTTCATTGAGTCAGTCTCTTGGCTGCTGTGTACACCTCACCTCCCCCTCCATACTAGACTACCAGAGTAACAGCCCCAGAGGCTAACAACCTTCATCAGTGCATTTCCCTTGCTGCAGAACACCAACAACCACGCGGGGCAGGTGCGGCACCTCGTGCATTGCCTTGAGAATGCCGTCATGAACCTGCCTGCTACTGCCTGCGAGCAACAGCAGCCGCAGCAGCAGGATAATGGCAGGCAGGGGGAGCAGGAGCAGATGGTGTGGCTGATTGACTTCCGCGGGTGGAGCATGCGCAAGGCCCCGCCGCTCAAGACGTCTCGCGAGGTGCTGAGCATTCTGCAGAGCCACTACCCGGAGAGGCTCGGCGCTGCTGTCATCTACAGCCCGCCCGCCGTCTTCGAGGCCTTCTGGAAGGTGCGTGCAGCTCCCTGGGAAAGTTAACACACCAGGCTGGTTGGTTTTCCCGTCTGTTTGGCGCGTTTCAGCCAGGGTGGTTGGTAAGTTAACTAAATTTTTTAAAATCTATGTAAGCTAATCAATATTTCTTGCCCAACCGTTCTGTTTCCATGCTGCCCTGGCAGGTGATCCGGCCCTTCATAGACCCGGTGACATTTAACAAGATTCTCTCTGTCAACCCATCCAAGCTCGACACGGTGAAAAAGCTCGAAGGGATATTCGACCTGGACCGCCTTGAGGAGGCGTTTGGGGGGCGATCCAAGTGGACCTATGACCATGCGACATATGGCGAGATGATGGCGCGGGATGATGAGAAGACGGCAGAGTACTGGGGGATAGTGGAGGGGGAGCGGTTGGGGCAGCAGCAGGAGATTGTGGGGGATGAGGGTGGGGACGGTGCTGACAGCACTCAGGGCAGTGAGGAAAGTTCCCTCAGCAGCAGCAGCAGTTCCAGCAGCATCAGTAGCACGAGCAGCAACGGCGATGGTGACGGCAGTGCTAATCTTTGGTTACCTATTGAGGTTCTTGCTCCCACATATTCTAACACACCGCATCCGATTCAAGCACATGCGCAAACGAATGGAGTGCTCACGAATCTCCATAAGATGAACCTCAACAGGTTCATCAAGCGACCAACGTGGCCCCAATAACGCAAATAGAGTTTGCTAAGTTGTACTGTGCTGGTGAATATTGGCATTCCGTAAAGTGCCACCTATAGGACCCGGGGGACTCTCTACAAATGCTTGAAAAAGTGCTAGGGGGACCCTCTGGCGGTTGCAAATTTTTAAGACCCGGGGTACACTTATTTATCAACTATCATTCTGTTCTTTAGGGTGTACGGCTTAATTCGGGGCGGGGGGGTCTTATATTTATAACGAAAAACGGCATTCGTGGGCGGATTTCGCGCGAGCGGCGCGTCAGATCTGTGTCAGAATTCGAGTCTGACACAAACAAAGTGTCAGAATTCGAGTCTGACACAAAGAATCATGTCAGAATTCAAGTTTCTGTCAATAAAAGCTGACTCACAATAGCAATTACAACTACTGTATACAGAAAAGGGGGGTCTTATGATGATTAGGGGCAGAAAGGGGGTCCTCACAAATCCTGCCCAAATAAGAGTCCCTCTGCTCCTTCAAGAGTCCCGGGGACCCTCTTACCGGCGGGTCCTATAGGTGGCACTTTACGGTTCTTTTTGTGTGACTACAGTTAGATCCGTGTGAGTTGAAGCACCATTTTAGTTTACCATGTAAAGGCCCTCTGATCTGATCACCATCGCAAATATTATATTGATGACACCCCTGTTGTACAGTTGCAATAAGATGAGAAGAAACAGAGGTAAATGGCCTCCCCAAGCATTAAGAACTGGGAATGATGAGCCATATGCTGTGATGTGAGTGAAGGCGTATGTCAATTCTGACTATCGAATGTACCGTACGAAGACACAAATCACAACCAATGCCAAATAAGCACAAACCCCCTTTCACAATTTAGTACCGTCATCGCCCGGATATAAGACATATATGTCTTATCTCGTACACTAGAAAAAATGCTTGGGTTATCTTATAAATGGGGAGGTTTTGGGTGCCTTATAAGTCTTATAAATAGAGCCATAACCGTTTAGAAGATACCCCCTCGTTATACAATTGCCCCTAATCCTTACACTAGCTTAGCTCGTACACACAAATAGGTGTCATTGTGAAAGTGTACTTAGGCTGACTGGCAAAGGCAGCGTTATCATTTCATATGGCAAAGGCAGCGTTATCATTTCATATGGATTGTAGTACATCGTTCTCGTCTTATATAAATCTACATAACAGCATACACAATGGGTGGGCGGGTGGGAAATTAGAACTACAATTTTGAAAATGAAAACGTGGGTGGGGACGAATGTCCCCACGTCCCTCTTTTGTAGGCAAAAGAGGGTGAGTAGCGCTTCGGCGCTACCTTTGCTGTGTTGGCCACGTACCCCTTTTCACAATACAAAATTTTAGAAAGTGTTACATTTCATTACACTTTCAAAAATTATCATATTGTGAAAGTGTACTTAGGCTGACTGGCAAAGGCAGCGTTATCATTTCATATGGGTCTTCTGAGGCAAGTGCAGTCGGGGCTGGCGGTGTCGTTCGATTGACAGCTGATGCGTAGCGGGCGAGGGAGCCGTCGAAGGATCCTGCAATTGCGTAGAGAGGGAGATGAGCTGATCCTGCGCGATTGTAACGTACATCTCCTTCGCGCTGTCGCTGCGCCATCGGCCCATGCGTTTGAAGAGCCGGTCAGGAACTCCGAGGCTTGCCGCCGCCGTGGCTGCGCCTTTGCGGAATGAGTGGGTTCCGATGTGCGCGACATCCAGTCCAGCTTGCCTGCCGGCCGCGAGGCACCAGTTTCTGATCGTAACGTAGGATGGTGATTTGTCGTTCGGTGTGGCTTGCGAGTTCTTCGGGAAAACCCTTATCAGCGGTCCATGTGGCACCTTTGTGAGGCCTGCGATGTGTATAAATGTGCGCGTGCACCTCACCGGGCAGTATGGGCCTGGAATTGCTGCCACTGGGATCCAGACTCCCCTCCCCTCCTGGTCCGTCTTGGAGTGCGGGATGAGCAGCCACATTGCCTTCTCCTCGAACTGTACATCATTCCATTGGAGCGAGACGAGGTCGGAGTAGCGCAAGAATGCAGAAAACATGAGAAGAGGAATCAATCCTTTCTGGTATTCCGCAGGAATTGGTGATTCGAGGAAGGGACGAGCCATGTCGTGCACTTGATGGAGAGAGATCGGCTCTTTGGTCCTTGTAGGCCGAGGGCCATGTCTCTTGGCGAACTCCCGCACTTGCAGGGTGAGTGGGCCAGCGGTAGGGGAGGTTTCGCCTGTCATGCGGTGGGCGAAGGCTACTGCCGAACACGTGAGGTTGATCGCAGAGAGAGTTGCTTTGTTGTTGAGCGCATGGATGAGATACAGCGCTAGCGTCAGGTCGGTTGCCGGTAGGAACTCGAGCTTAACTTGGGTACAGAAGGTGCGAAATCTCTGCCAATAAGGTTGGTACGTCTCGATTGTAGATGGTGCGCGAACGTGGCTAATTACGTGCATCAATTGTTGCTTTAGTTTGGCCAAAAGTCCTGAAATGACACATTGAGAAATTGTTATTAGACCGCATAGTTTACACGCAAAGCAATGATTGGGCTATGGGGCAATCCGAGACCAGAGAATGCAGCTGTGTGTGAACCTGCCCGAAGGCATTGGCTGCCTTGGGCAAGGGAAAGGTGCTCTACTACTGCCGGAGCCCACGATTGAGTGGACGGCTGGAGAAGCGGCCACCATGACGCTCCGGTCCACTGTGGAACGACGAGCGTGAGTTCTGTCTGCGTCAGTTCCGCATGGCGGAGTGTAGCGGGAATTAAGTGTGGAGGCGGGAAGGCAAAGCATCGCTCGCCTGTCCACGAGATGGAAAATGCGTCGACGGCGAACGCGTCGGGGTGCGGTATCTTAGAGCAGAAGCGCTGAACGTGATTGTTCCGAACGTTAGCAAAGAGATCAATTGTGTGAGGCCCCCAGCGTCGTTCCAAGAGGCGAAACCAAGGTGCGTGTAGGGAGTAGTCGTCAAAATCTTGCATCTTGGATAGGTCATCCGCATGGGCGTTGAGCTCTCTCGGAATCCATTCGATCGCGAGGCGTGTTGTGTTGCCGAGGCAGAACTGGATGATCGCTTGGCATGTCAACGTAAGATCCGCCTGACGGGATCCCCCTTTGCGCAAGATAAACATGACTGCCTGGTTGTCTACCCGGACGAGGACGTGAGCACCCACGATTTGGGTTGCGAACGTCCGCAGTGCCCAGAGCACTCCCTCGAGCTCTCGCCGCGTACTAGATGTGGGGAGAAGCCCTTGTGGCATGCACTCGCTTGCCTCGCATGATGTACTTGGGAACTTGGCCAGAGTGGCACCCCAGCTGTGTGCGCTTGCGTCGACGTGTATCACGGCATCAAAACGCTGACTCTGGTGGAATGGGGCGCCATTGAAACGATCGAAGTGCATTGTCCAAAACAGCAGCTCCTCGGTCGCTCCTGGTGACAATAAAACCTTTGAGTTCCATGACCATGCGGAGTCGATCAAGTGCAGAAGCTCATGGCTGAAGGCACGCGCCGTCGTGCCCAGCGCGAGCGACATGGAGCTGAGAAATCCAGTGATCCGGGCTATCTTGCGAATCGGCACTTGGCGACCCGATTGCCCTTTTTTTATAAGTAGGTGGAGCTCCTGCAGTAGTTGTTCGCGCCGATCCTTTCCGACAATGAACATCCCTCGTTCCGTGTCAAGCTCCATCCCCAAAAAGCGCAAGTGGTGTGCGGGATGCAGGTGTGATTTCTTAGAATTTATCACGAATCCTGCCGCCTTCAGGTCGTAGAGAACTTCGATGCACGTCGAACGGGCTAGCGCCTCGGAGTCGCAGAGGAATAGTAGATCGTCCACGTATGGTATTACGCGCACTCCGCGCGCGCGCCATCTCTTGGCTAGTTGCTTAATAAGCTGGGTGAAGACGAACGGGGCTGTTGCCAGGCCGAAAGGTAAGGATGTGAAGCAATAGAAATTTCCGCCCAATTGAAAGCCCAAAAACTTCCAGCACGATGGGTGGATTTCGACGTGGTGGTAGCCTGACTTGAGATCGATTGTGAACATCCAGTCGTTTGGGCGAATGATTTCCGCGACCCGACTCAAGCCTTCGTACTTGAACTTGGGAACTTGGAGGTGAGCGTTGACCTTCCGCAGGTCAAGGATGAGCCGACATTTGTCTCGTTGCTCCACAACATTGAGCGGGCTGATGCACGTAAGTGCGGCTTTCGACGAGACATGCATCGCGGCGCCTGACGCGATGAGGTCGCTGACCGCGTCTTGGGTGAATGCCATGTGTGCTTGGACGCCTGCGTGATTGGGCGCTTCGAAGGGGAGAGGCTCCGCGCCCTTCCATGGTAGCCAGTACCCTCTGGCAATGATGGAAAGGATAAGACTGCTGTCGCACCATGACAGCCACCAATGGAGGCTATTGCGCAATCGCATGCGCATGATGGACACCATGTTGTCCGTTATTGCGTCCTCGTATGGGTCCCAATGAGCACTCCGCCACTCGCCTTCCACTTCTGCAATTAATGGGCAACCGAGGTTGTGGGGGGGGGGGGGGGGGGGGGGGGGGGGGACCAGGACCAAGGTCGATTAGGCGCGAGATAATACGGCACGCTTTGTGGGGCAAACTATGTCGCTTGTCTTCTACCGCCGTCGCGCCTCCCCGCACTCTCGGGGTTGTTTTGTTTTGTTTGTTTTTTTTTTTTTTTGTTTTTCAACACTTCGCTTGAGAAACCCTCAGCTTTGACACTCTTGCATGTTTTTTTTTTTTTTTTGGATTGCCTTGCAACGAGATTGGCGCATTTGCGTCACTAGGTCCCACGACCTTGATCACGAGGGACTTCGTGACGGAGAGAAAGAGAGCGTAGAGCTAGAGAGCGCGAGAGAGAGAGAGAGCGCTGGAGAGAGAGAGAGAGAGAGAGAGAGAGAGAGAGCGAGAGAGAGCGAGAGAGGGACGAGAGAAGGATGGGAGGGAGAGAGGGGGAGGAAGAGAGATAGAGAGAGAGAGAGAGAGAGAGAGAAAGAGAGAGAGAGAGAGAGAGAG